AACAACCTATTTGGCACTGATTGGATGACACAATTCCAGCTTTGGGACTTACTTATAAATTTTTACTGCCAAAAAATTAAACTACAAGACAATGTTCAAAAAGAAGTGAAATGTGCCTTTTGCTTCATTGGAACAAATTAACGAGGAACTTGCAACAGTAGTAAGAACTGGAGATCTATTGAATGTAGAAACAAAGAACAGTTCATCTAAAAAGGCTAAAAAATTAGCTGCTAAGAAACTGAAACTGAAGAAATTAGCAACGGTAAAGACGGAAGTGCTTCATGTTGACAAAATGAAAAAGAGGGAAGTTTTTGAAGTAGCCAAAGCAAAGAAACTGCCTCAAAGAACACAGGCCTCTATCCTTAAACAGAGCAAGAAAGTTGCATCAGTTTCAACAAACTTTGATCAGAAAAACATTGTGTTAGACGAAAAAAACCTGGACCAGTGAAAGGGAGTAAGCGTTTTGTGCAAAAGGTTTCAGTTTCTGGAGAAAACGGCAGCAAAGGCAGCAAAAAAAAACGTACCAAAAAAAGAAAAAAGAGACCACAAAGTTTGAAAGCTTGTTCTACGTTGAACTTGGCAAAACAAGTCAACCAAGTTTTAAATTCCTAGCCATATGTAAAAAGTAAACACTTGTGTTTTTGATAATGTAAAACAAGTCAGGTGGAGGAAACCACTAAAAAGTTGATAAACTTTCTTTTTTACAGGTACATGTGTAAAAAAAAAAAAAAATATTTCTTCAGAGTTAAGATTTTAGGAGGGGGTGTTGTGATAAACCCTCTTACAATATAATGAACTCTTCCTTCTCTCAAATACAAACTGCGAGAGTCAGACGGGAGCGCAGAGTGTTGAGTGAAGTTAGTGCTAATCTACTTATTACTAACACTATTGTTTTGTATATATCTTCAATATACTTTTTTTTTCAACCAACCTTCGTCTTCCGTGTCTTTCTTTCTGGCCCCTAAACAGGTCACAACATCTAATAAATAACAAATGATATATTTTCCCTAATAAAAGATTTTTTATCTATTTTGATATCCATGAGAAAGAGTTTTACATTTAATATTTTTTAGAAAATTGTATTTGGACTGCAAGAATTACTAGAGTTATTTCTGAATGCTGGGCAAAACCTTTGCCAAAATATTCTAATAAAAATTAACCTTGTATGTAAATAATTATTTAATTGTATCTTCCTGGATTTTCACAAGTCTCACAAACTATTAAGTCTGCTGTTCTTTTAATGAATAAATCAGTATTTTAAATTTACTATGAAATGACATCATTTTTGCAATTAACACATTAATATTTTATACTCGTTTTTTTTTTTTTTAACTTTTATAAAAGTTTTATAGTAAATCTGAAATAGAACAAAAGTGTATTTGTAGGTTTTCTAATATTTTTGTGGCTAAATGTCATGAATAGATGTTAGCAAAAGAAGTTGATAAATATACTCTAAGCAAATAAGACCTGTCATTTGAATGTTACTTTAAAGTAAGATAGCTAAAGAAGCTACTTGTGTTTTACTCTTAAGAATTGTAATTATGATAAAACTTCAATCCAATTTAAAGTTCTAATAAAAATATAAAAAATATTCCATTTCTAATAAAATAAATTGGAAAATAATTTTCAAGAAAACATAATAGACATTCTTGAGTTGTTACTGAAAATTTTCATTTATTTAATATAAATGTGTGTGTCTAACAGTCATTTTTGTATCTAATGGTCTTTGGTATATAAGTTTTATATATATATATATACATTTTTTACAGGCTATCACTGCTTTAGTAAACTATCCAACACCAGCCACCCGTATGGCTTTGACTGATACTCTGGAAAATGAGCATTGCTTCTGCAAAGTAAGAATGGAAGCTTGTTTTTGTCTTGCTAAGGTAAGGAATCTTTTAGATCAATAGAAATTTTGTTTTCAGATTGATCCATCATTGAATCCAAACTTGGCATTTTCTGCAGTAAAAGCTTTCGTTACAGAAATACAGTTATTAATATGGAAAATAGAATCTGCAAACATTTTGAATTCTGAATAGTGTTGTTTATATTCACTCAGCATTATGAATCTACTGCTCACTCTTCTCTCAACAGATATCTTGAGAAAAATATTGTTCCAAGTGTGCCAATGACAACAGAGAGGAGAGTAGGCAGACAATCTGCACTTCCATAACAGCCACTAAATAAAAACTACAAAATGTTGTTACCCCCCCTATCCTATTGTCAGAAAACAACATATTCAATTTATGTCCATATTCAAAAAATTTTCTCTTTTATAAAATTTGCATGAGTATTTAAGAAATGGAATCTGATTTCTCTCTGCTATTTTCAATTTCAACATGAAATTAAGATTTGATGTCATATTTTGAGTTTGAATTTTTATTGTCAGATGTTTGAATAGTTTCTCTATTGAAACTATTCAAATGTCTGATGATAAAAATTCAAACTTAAAGTAGAATAATAACCTTGAACCAGCCATAAAACCTTTTATACAAAAACAAGAAAAATGAAATAAAAACTCCTCAAAAGTAATATTTCTATGTTCTTCAATCAAATATGTAAAAATGAGAATTTGCTGCCAAAATACACCCACACTATATACAGGGTGATTGAAAAGTAACTCCCCATTTTAAAAAAATTATAATTTATTTATTAACTATAATTTTTACAAGAAATGTATATGAGAGGAAAGCGTTTAGTATGATGTTTTATTTAAAATTCATTATGGGCACCAGATTTCACTACCAGCTTCTCAAGCCACCCAGGAATTGTGTCAAATGATTTCGCCAGGAACTCTTGTGATATAGAAGACATAACTTCTTGCATTCGGCCTTCATGTTCTTTCAAAGTTTTGGTTTGGTATAGTAGGCTTGCTTCTTTAAACCCCCCCCCCAAGTCACAAGGTGTTAAGTCAGGACTCCTGGCTAGCCACTCATACATAAAATAGGGAGCTACTTTTCAATAACCCTGTGTTTGTGTGTGAGTGAGATATATATATATATATATATATATATATATATGATCGCAACATGTATTATTATTTTTAACATATATGTAATTATTTTGACAACATTCTTTCCCCAAGGGTCTCTTTCCGATTGATCGAACATGGTTGAGCTGGCTGGAATTGCTTAAAGAACGTACACAGCAGGTGACAAATAACAGAAACATAAATGTAGAGTAAACAATTAAATGAATTTATTACAATAGGAAAACAACAAGATACTGCAAAAACAAAAACAATAAGTCAAAATGTTGTAGGGCATAAGAACAGGAGGCGAGTATCTAAACTCTCAGGAAAGTAACTAATGATTAATAAACAATCTTATCGGCTGGCATGCAAATTTACAACATGACAAAATGCATTGAGCAAAATGATAACATAAAAGAGAAACAATAACTTATCTTATTGTTATTAAAGTACGTTTTGTCTTCTCTTTTTATATTTCTCTCTTTCTTTTTGCACACTTGTGTCTTTTTGAGGTCTTTCCTCTCTTTTTCATTTCTTTTGATGTCTTTTTCTTCTTTCTTTTTCTCGTTTCTGTTCTAGGGGCTTGAGTAAAGAATCAATTGAAGCTGTTGTTTCGTGGTTCTCTGTATGATATATATCTTTCCTCACGTTTTGACACACTTCTCTCCTCTTGTGCTGAAGTTTACTTTCTTTTCTGGGTAAACCTCGTTAAAGCTATTTTGAGACCTGAAATCACATTGGACTTTTCTTCCTTTCACATACATGAATTTATAGCGGGTTTATAGCAGGTATTGCAAACCCTTCTGCTTGGCTCGGATGCTGAAACAAGACTAACAACGTTTTTAAGAGAGAAATAATAATGTAGAATCTTTCAAATGCTCACACACATGTCAGTTTGGTTAAGATCTGTCAACATTTAATTTTACTTTATCCATCTCTTTTTTATCATTATATTTTCTGAGAATACTGACTTTTTGTTTAAAATGCTTCTAAAATATAAGCATGGATACAGGTTTTTGGAGGGGCTTAGATAAGGGTCCGTAACAACATATATATAATAAAAATTTTCAAATTACACATTTATCTTTTTTGTGCAAAATATAAAATTTTTAATTCCCCACCAAACTAAATTCTTGTACCAAACACAAAAACCAGGTTAGTAGGAATAGAAAGGTAAAAGAGAACATGTGCTTCTCTTCTTGAAGTGAAAATAAGCACAAATAACAAAACAAGATTCAACACTGCATAAAATTTTAAAGGCAAAACATTTAATATAAACCAAAATAGGTATAAATACAAAATTTGCAGAAAATTTCTTTTTGTGTGCTTATTAAGATAGGATAAATTTCAGATGGTGTTCAATAAAAGCTTACCCTGGTAAAAGACATGGATACAATAATGAAAAAGATTACACCTTTTAAAAATGAAAAAAAAGGGAAAAACTTTGAGGAAGCAAAAATTGCACAAGGCAGAAAATACAAAAATGCACCCACCTAATTTCTTCAACTGAGTACTGAATAGAAATGTCACGACACAAAGGGCTTTCATGTTTTCCCAAGGTTGTTGTCTCGAGAGCTTTATGTAGTCCTTTACTGGAAAGTTAAACTTGAGCGTTTGTTTCATTCAAATTCTTCTTTGGGAGATGTTCAAATAATTTTCTGTCTTGGAGTTTGTATCTGCCTATAGTTGTCAGCTCTTTTTTCTCCCCCCGTGATGATTTATGGCCCTTTCAGCTGGACTAATCCTTGAAGTGTGGGCGCTAATACTTCCTCCTCAACAATTAATTGCTTTCTGAAGCCATCCACTAACCACAGTCTATTTATTCAACAAGCAAGATTCACTCCAGGCTCCATCCAGGTTTTCACAATGGCTTGAGAGCATGTCTCTCATTGGCCAATAAATATGTCAGCTTATTTTTCCATAAATTCCAAAAATGAATCCGCAACAATACACAGAAAATAATTTTGGCAATTCTTTAACAGTTAATTCTAAAATAGATTATCACACAGCTATAACAATTTCTTTTTGCAAACCATCCTTTTGCAAAAATACACTTTTCTCAAAGGTATGTGTGAAAAAAAAAAAAAACAACCTAGACAATTAAACATTTATTGACTATTCTAAAAACTAAATAATAAAAAATATATATAATCTTTCCACATATCCTTAATCAACATCATGGCATCCATCTCATCTTGTATTCAATTTTGAGTTGAATCTTGTTACTACTGATTATTGAGAATATTTATATTTTGATTTTATTCTTGTAGGTGGCTAATGCAATGGTGTCTAATTGGGCAGGTCCTCCTGCCATGATGACTATTTTCAGAAAGATGTTTGGTTCATATTCTTGTCCTTCTATCATCAGACAAAATAATTTTGGTAACTTCCAGCAATACTTCCTTCTCAAAGTAAGTTTCTTTTTATTATAATAAAAAAACATGGCAAAAAGACTTGTCATAATTATTCCTAGAATGATTGAAATTCTAGTTAAAATTACCCATCTCTATATATGATATCAGATTCAAAATTCAAAATCCAACCATAACTTGATTCAAGCATTTGGAAATGGCAATGTAATCAGATAGGTTATAAATTGTTGTATTTTACCATGCAGACAATTCCTTGTGCCATGGCCCAGCTACGCAATATCCACAATATATGTCCAAATGAAGTGTTGAAATTCTTATATGATCTCTTCAAATATAATGACAACAGCAAAAACAAGGTAAGTACTTTGTATTCAGGCAACCAATTCTCTTTTGGCAAAAACAAGATTTCTTGAAGTGACTAGTCAGTACATTTCCTAAATTGGAAAGTTCTACCCAAATTTCTTGCATGTAATCTGAAAGATAATCTTATGAAATGCTAAAAAAGCCTTTGTCTCTTCCTTCTACTACTACTACTAAATAGAATTGTAGAATCTAACTTCTACATTTCAGTGGATCACACCTAAGTTTCGTTAATTCTGTCATTTAACAACGTCTTGATTAGACAACAAATATTAAAATGATATCTTTTATATTTTTCACATGCAAGTTCTAAATCTTGTGCAAGTTAAATACTTTTAGGCTCCAAGCTAAAAGTACAACAATAGACCTTTTTTGATTGGTTAATAAATACCAAGGTCATATTTACACCTACACACAAGTGTTCAAACCAAAGAACCGCCAAAATTAAGAGAGCATGTTCTCGAGCCTATCACGTGATGAACAAGTAAATAAATATGATACATTAATTCATTGTGACAGCAATGCAATTGCCTACTAAAAATTGTCACACATTCTGAGGCTAAAAGTTACCCATTATAATCTCAGCTTCCAGAACATTCACTCACTCAAGTCATTCACACAGCAGCTTTCATTCATTCCTGCAAGTGAATTAACGTCTAATTACTCAACTTTGCCAGTAAGAATCAAGTTACCAAACAAATCTTTGTCATTCAACTATCTGAAGTTTTAAAGTTACTTTGATAGCATGAAATAAACTTTCAGAATTCACTTTTATCACACTGTATTTCATTTATACACAGTTTTCAACCACAGAATATTATTATTATTACATAACAAAAGTTCTCAATTGCAGAACATTATTTCATCCAGAATTTATTACTTCTGGACAACATTACGGTCAAAGAAAGACAACTCTAGAACAACTAAGTTTTTTTTCACAATTTACACAGGAAATTTATATTAACATTGTTTAATTACCTCATAAACAGAATTATTTTTTCACTAACTCTGTGAAACTTACATCACCAAGTTACAACAAATATTTCTTCAAGTAAACTCACATACCATAACTCTAAACACCAAAATAAGAGTTTACACGCATAATTAAAATAACAAAGATCATCAAGATTTCACTCACAAATCTTTACTCATTTCAGAATAAATGCATTGTATCTTTTATGCTATATAAATCAAAATATTGTTTGTTATTCAAAAACTTTAGTTGTATTATTTCTCTTGTTGTTTATTGTTTCTTGGCACATTTGTTGAAAGTAAAAATATTAGGGATTGTATTGAGACCGTTCAATCCTCTACAAAATGATTGATAAAATGAAACACCAATTTCTGCATTTACTGCAGGTTACTTTTACACTAAATGCTTTTAAAACCTTAGCTTTGATCTAGAATTTTATTATTAAAAATAGATAATTGCATAAATATACTATGAATTATATGTAGGTAAGCAGTTTGTCCATTCTGTTAATTTTCATTTAGTTTGAATGTCACTAAGAGAAGAAATCACTGCTCTTTGTCTTGAACTTTACTGATATTATAAATTGGTTTCTCTCTTCAGTATTCTGATAATTACTACAGATCATCTTTAATTGATGCCTTGGCTGCAACTGTGACTCCAGCTGTTAGCCCTGTTGGTTTGCTCAAGTAAGTTCATTAGCATTATATTTTTATTGATAGGTAATTGAATGATAAAATAGAGAAAAAAACTATGCAAAAGGACTTAATCAGACTGAAGAACAAAATACATTGCAGACAATCTTTTCCATTTTTGCCATTCATTTACCTACCATTAGTTTGATTTATAGAGTTTTATTGTTATAACATATAGTGTTTATTTATTCACTTATCATAATTAAAAGAATTTTTTTTACCTCTAGCTGTCTCTGGATTTTGAAGTGACAAAGATTTGTAGGAGACAAAATTCTTGTTTATTATTTTGAGATCCAAAATACAAGATACAATGTCAGATGAGCTACAATTGTAGATCTATTAAATACTTTATGAACTGCATTCAGTTTTATGTTATTTGCTCTCTCTCTCTCTCTTTATTAGCTGATGAGAATGTTGACAAAAGGATCTCTTTCTGACTTGTGTACAGATTTTTAAGGGACCAAATAATGTGGACTTTTAAAAAAGAAAGTTTGTTTTGCTGCTGCTAACATTGTAGAAAAAAAATGATAAAAAATAGTAATTCCTGTTTGCATGATTTTACTTTTGAAATTTTCAGAATTACTTTTATGTTATTGATTAATGATTATGATACATATTGATTTGATAGTTTATTATCTTCATTTCTTCAGCACTGGATTCACTTTGGATAATTTGAGTGCAGATGGAAAACTCATTCTTGAGGAAATAACACGATTTCTAAATCTAGAGAAATTGTTACCCTGTTATAGACACACAGTAGCTGTCAGGTATGTTGTATTCTATTACTGATATCATCATAATTTCAATTAAATCTGATTTTTTACGAATAGTCAAGTTCATTTCATTGTTTTTTCTTTGAAAAACAAGTTCGCTTTATTATTTAGTGTTGAAATCCCATTTAAATTTTGTACATATCTTGCCATGAAGGAGACAAATTTGCTGTCAATAAAATATTCATTTTAATGTATCACTTTTTCAGATAAAAACTTAATTTTTTAAATATATAAAAACTGAAAATTTGATTGTTTTGTACATTTAGTGTACTATGTCAACAAAAGTTTGTTAGCCATTGACATCATTTGTTGCATATTTTCATATTATTTTATGTTTTCTTAACATTAATTCATGACACTTTTTTAAATAATTATTTTTATTATGTCACTTTTTAATATAAAAACCTATTTGTTGTATAATAAAAATGTAAACAAAACAAAAAATAATATTATTTTCCATTGAATTGTTCAACATTTAAGCACAAATAACACAAATTCTGTTGATTTTATGACCATAGTTCATATGTGAATATTAATCAGCATTCAAAGAGCTTTCTAAAGATTGACCACATTGGATGATATGAAAATCTGCCATTTTGAATTTGGCCCAACTCAGTAAAACCCTTGTAACTCAGACCACAGTCAAAAGTCCACCACAAAATTTTGTACATATCTTGCCATAAAGGAGACAAATTTGCTGTCAAATTTTTAAAAATTAAGGAACCATTTTTTGAGAAATTAAAGATCAAAATCTAAGGTCAGATTATCTTATTTGACCTTTAAACAAAAAAATTAAATAGATCAGCTTTTAGAACTATTCAAATACTTTAAAATGGTATATAATTTAGCTTTGTAGGTGAAAAAACAACTGAGATATTGATATTTGGCAAGGGTAATATCTCTGGAACCCTTTGACCTAGAGTTGTAGAATAGGTACCATTCAATTTCTATCATGAAGTTTTATAAGTGTACCAAATTTGAAAAAACTGTCAGTTATGGTCAGACCCTTGTTGATTTGACACGGAATGTCTCAAAAGCCTATTTACATTCTACACTTAATAAAATCCAAAAAAATTTGTGATGCTTACATATTCTAAAATCTGTCCATTATGTGTGTGTATATATATATATATATATATATATAGGCCTCCATTGGTCAGGATTGACCATGGGTAACATCCAAATTTGTCTGCTTGGCTGGAGCATCGACTATAGAAGTCACATTTGTTTTCTGTCTCTGGTCTGTTGGAACTGTCACTTTGCTTTCTGTGAGCCCGCCTTTTCGTAGCAACTTGTGTCAGCTTCTCCTCCCCTGACTTGAGGTGTTTAGTCAGGGTTCCTCTCCATTCAGATCGTATGGCTGCCAGGCTCTTCCATAACTCTGTATTGATATCCACAGCTTTCATGTCGTGTTTCACTACATCATGGTACTGCAGCTGTGGCCTCCCAGCAGGTCTACTTCCAGCAGCCAACTCTCCATACAAGATGTCTTTGGGGATGTGGCCATCTGGCATGTGATGGAACTGGCCCAACCAATGGAGTCTGCACTGTCTGAGCAGTGTGAACATGCTGGGTAAACCTGCTCAAGACAAGACCTCATTGTTGGGCACCTTATCTTGCCACACTATTCACAGGATGTGGCAAATGCTTCTCATGTGAAAGATGTTCAGATGCCTTTCTTGCCTATCATACGTGGTCCAAGCCTCACTGCCATATAGCAGTGTACTGATAATGCAGGCATTGTACACTGCCATCTTGGTCTTCACTAACAGCTTGGGATTGGTCCACACACATTTTGTGAGGTGCGCAATTGTTGTGGCTGCCTTCCTGATTCTCTTGTCAATCTCTGCGTCTAAGGAGAGGTTGTCAGTGATGATGGACCACACCAAGTTCATAGTCATCAATGGTGATGGCTGGTGGTGTTTCAGTACCTTGTCCCAGAACATTTTTAGGCTGATGGTCAGCCCAAAGTCTCTGCAGGCCTGGGAGAAACAGTTCATCTGTGACTGAAGTTCACACTGGGTGTGATTCGCTACCACCGCATTGTTGGCAAAAAGCATGTCTCTGACAAGGGCTTTGCATACTTTGGTCCTGGCTCTGAGGTGAACGAGATTGAACAACCTGCCATCTGATCTCGTACACAGGTAAATCCCTTCTCTAGATGTGCCAGATGCATGCTTCAGAAGCAATGTGAAGAAAATCCCAAATAGAGTGGGAGAGAGGACGCAGTCCTGTTTGACCCCACTACAGATGTTGAAGGGCTCAGAAGTGTTGCCATTGAACTGCACAGCCTGTCACTGTGTAATGACTCAATCAAGCTCTGCAGCTTCGGTAGGCATCCAATCTTGGACAGGATCCTGAAGAGGCCTTCTCTGCTGATGAGATCAAACGCCTTGGTGAGATCAATAAAAGTGACGTACATGGGCATATGCCATTCTCTGCACTTCTGTAGCTGGCAGAGGGAGAAGGCTATGTCTACTGTTGACCTTTCAGCTTGGAAGCTGCACTGCGACTCTGGGTAGACATGTTCAGCAAGTTTCTGCAGACAGACCAAGATTTTTTTTTTTATATTTTATAATATATATATATATATTTAAGATATAAAATATAAGACCCTTGGTTTTGTCCTATAGGAATATCCAAGATGGTGCTTGAATGAAATATTCAGCAAAATATCCCATTCGTCAGTAACATTATAAACCCCTCATAGAATGCAAAGCTCTCAAAGCAAATTTGTGCCAGGCTGTTTTCCTGAATCCTTGATGACTTGGCTGTCCGAAAATGACAGCGTCAAGATGAAATAATGGAAACTAACTGTGGAAAACACAATTATGTGCAACAAGTTTTTGATCAATCAGTTAACTTCTAGATGTTTTTGGGCCATGTTATAGGATCAAGACGGCTATTTTTTGCACATGGAATTATTCACTGGTAATTAATCTTCGATTTGTCTGTGAAAAATATCACTTGGGGGTTAGCATTAAAAAAAATTGTGGCCAATTTTCTGAAAAAAAAATTTTTTTTTCTGAAAAAATTTTTTTCACTTCAAAACAATTTTTTTCAAATTTCAACATCATTGAATAAAAAAGAAAAGGCTTTGGACCATTGAATATCATTAAATAAAACGAAATGCTATATGACTGATGATGGGGTGTTAATAAAAAAACAAAAACTCATCACATGCAGTTATAAAAACCAAACTAATTTTTTTTTTTCTTATCACTGCTTTTTTTTTTTTTTTTTAAAAAAAAAAACTCCTAGTTTCGGTGGTCAGGAATTGAGGATAAATCTTTTTGCCTTTTCCTAAAGATTTCCGTGGCCAGGTGTCAATTTTTTTAACCCCTGGTGGAATTGAAAATGGACTTTGTCACATTTTGACCCCCTAGGGATGTTGCTTTCCTTCAAATTCTCAATTTTATGCCTGAAATAGTTTGATTATGATTTATGCTTTCTGATTTTAAAAAAAAAATAGTTAATTTCCCATTATTGGGGAAATTATTTTGTCTAGAACTAGAAAAAATGAAAAATTTTCACTATTTTTTCACATTTTACCCCCTGAAAAAAATTTTGGAGTCGTTTAGACCAGCCAATTTTACTTTTAAATGAAAGAACACATTGTTTGCTTTCAGAAAATACCTAGTTTCTTGGGGTTCAGATCAAAAGTTTCCTTGATATTTTGTTCAGATGATGATAAAACAGTCATTTTTCAATATTTTACCCCTATAAAAGTATGAAAATCCATTTTCTTCAGAGAAAATAAGCTGTGACAAAATGACTTTTGCCATTTTTGTGATGATTTTTACTTGGGATAGAAAATTTTTACCATAGCAAATCTTGACTTTATTTAAGTTTAGAGGGGCTATAGGAACCCTCAAACAGCTGTGATATAGATGTGTGTGTATGTATGTGTGTGTGTCTGTGTGTGTGTGATAAAAATATTAATATTCATAGAACCCATCATTAATAGTATTTTTTATATATCTATACACATATATAATTCCATATTATAGATCGTAATTGATTAATTTATGAACTATGTATATATAATTTCACATTTGTAAGTATAAGGCTAGGTTCAAAATGCATTAGATATATAGGCTTAACCTTAAATTAGTTTATTCCATAAGATATTACATTAATGATATATTATAACGACGGGTTTTACGCAGAGAGTTATCCCCCTTGATAGCGTGTTTTTTTGTTGTTTTTTTTTCAAATTTTTTGTTAAAAATTGGAGCGATATAAATTATTTATATTATAGGCAACAATAATAAAATAAAAAAAAGTCTTAATACACAATTTTAAAACAACACCACAAGAAAGCGAATTTCATAATGTTTTAGCAGTCAGTAAGTATCCTTAAGATTGCATGAAACTCTGAGTTATGCTATCGACGTAGTATATTATGTATATTCACACACGCACACACATGTATTTATTTTTAATTCAACATTTTTGTAGTGGATATTCATATTTGAAATAGACAAATATTTCAAATATGAGTATCCACTATAATAATGTTTGGAGTAACATATATATATATATAATATATATAATCTGTTTCAGCTGCTTGCAAGCCATAAGAATTCTTCAAAAGAATGGGCACCTTCCCAGTGATCCTCAGATATTTGAAAGTTATGCTCAGTATGGTATCTATAGAGATGTACGTCTGGCAGCCTTAGAAGCTCTGGTTGATTATATTAAAGGTAACCATGAATTCAGCTAATAACAAAACCTCATTTTCCAGATGTTTCATCCAGTCCTGGAATATTAATGATTTGAGGAGGCATATGGTGAATGTACACCTTAATGTTTTCATTTTTTTTTTTATTATTTATTTATACTTATTCAAATAATATTCATTTAAATGTCAATTTCTGCAGCCTTGGCACAATGTTATGTCACTTCCTATAAAATTTGTATCATAATTATTTGCTAATTCTTACTTTATTATTATTATTGTCAGTGGTATACAACTATGGCTGACAAAAAAAAAAGAATATTTTTCTTGTTGTCTTAAAGTGCAGAAAAATTACTCATTAATAAGCAGTTAATAATCCTGTAGTTATCTCCCAAAGTCAACTGAACAAACACATGCATAAATGTTCAGATCTTTTATGTATATTTTTTTCTAATAATGTCGCTCCAACACAACTCTATTAACAATAAATGAGTCACAATAGTCAAGTTGAATAGAGCAAGTTTTCAGTTCCAAAACACTATTTCTCCACATAATCACCATGGGGATGGTTGGAAACAGATATTTCCAGTTGCCCCATTATAAGCATTAATATATCTGTGGTATGTTAACACCTTAACACAATGGACTAGAATAGCTGAAAGAAATAAAGGCAAATATGCATTGTGCCCAAAGAGATTTTATGTACCACTATGCTGTACAAGAAATTTATATATATATATATATATATATATATATATATATATACACTTGTCAAAGAACCTATAACATATATGGATAAAACAAGAAGTGTGAATGGGTGAAAATCCAGAGGTCTTACTTATATGTTCCCAAAGAGAAAATGGTCATGCTGGTGCTGTCTTGTGTTCCTTGTTAGGACCATGTTGTTTACATTTGTTCACTCTACTGCTGTAGGCTTATGACCTTTATCTTCTTCATGGTCTACATAGCAACTCAAGGTTTGTCACCCCACAAACTGACATCACTCACTGGCCATCATATGACCTTTGTGAATTTGAACTACCAAAATAGAGATAATCACCTTCTGCATCCTTACATCATCATTGGCTATGAATTTTTCTGCGATAAAAAAAGAGCATGCTGTTTCCACTACTGAAATGTATTACCTACCCCCTAACCGTGCTCATATCCACTGTTGGGTTTCTGTAAATATTCAGCAAGTGACAATGAATATCAAGGGGTGTAATTTTTTCTCACATGAAGATACACCCCTTGCTTCATCCTCACTCTTATGTCAAATGCCATTTTTCCAGACTGTCATTCAGCTGCCATCTGTAACAAGTCAAAAATAGAAAATATGAGTTACTGGTAGAAAGGTTCAACCTCTTCTGCCATATCACCAGCCTATGATTTTGTGCATCAGCATGATAAAATAATAGGCATTACTTTTAGAGCAACCCTCGTAAAATGCAATTGAAAAAGCTTAAGCTCTAGATTTTCAGTAAATGTAGTTCATTTATTATGGAAACATTATAAATCATGGATATATAATTTATAGAAGACATTAAAGAACTTTCAATGGTTTATATACATGCAGAACATGATCATCTTTTATTTAGACATAAGGTAACTTTTCCAGATACTTTCTGCTGATCTTAGGATTATTAATTTTTTCATCAATTTGATGCATTTAATTGTATCAGTATTACTACTGTTTTGTTATAAATAATGGGTTATAATATTTTTGCATTGTAAAACTTGTTGATTTAGCTAAAAATGATTTTATGACGTTTTTCATGTTGTGGTGATCATTTGTCAATTGAAATTAGAAGCGGAAATTACTCTCTCCTAATTTTCTGATCAATAAAGCAATTACAAAGATTATTAGATGAATAAATGATAAAACTTTTAATTGGTTATTTTTTTATCTTTTACATGTTTATATTATTTTTCACTTCTTTCTCTATTTTTAGCTGATGTCAATGCAGAGAAATTAGAAAAGTTATTAATATTAATGCAGACTGATCAAGATATTTATATCAGGTATAATATAACATGTATAATTGAGTGTTGGAAATTATTGGAATGTTTTTCAAAGACTGAACCCCAAATCTTACATATCAAATAATTTTAACTAATAGATTGTAAAATCTTAAAAATGTACATTTTGACAAAGTAAATTTTCATCTCAGAATAATATGAGAAAATAAGAAATAACAAAAAGAACTCATATTTTTGAATTGAAAAATAAGAATAATATTGTTAAGAATTGTATTTTGTTTGGACATGTTTTATTACAAAAAACAATACTTTACATTTATATTCATCCCCCTACCACTACCACTGATAGGTACAAGGGGTTATGAAAAAAAATTACTTTTAAATTTTTGTTTCTGATTATCAGCTTTGGCAATTTTGGCTCTAATCGAATATTGAAATGCTCTTTCACTATTAACTTGAGAAAATCAAGATAAAAAGTTATATTGAATTTTTCTTTAACTTTTAAATATTAATAACATTGTTTAGAATTGTATTTTCTTTAAAAGTGATTTGTTACCAACATGTTTTATTAAAAAATAATAATAATAATGAGTTGTATTTGTAGATATGCCTTCTCCCTACCACTGATAAGCACAAGGGGTTTAAAAAAAACTTTATTTTTAAATTCAAGTTTCAGATTGATATCTATAAATTATTATTGTTTTTGGTTTTTGGGATTTTTTTTTTTTTTTTTTTTGCAAGAAAACATGTTGGCAACATACAAAATACAATTCTAAACAATATTATTATTATTTTAAATTCAATATAACTTCTTACTTTGACTTTCTCAATAATGAAAGAGGATTTCACTATTTAATTTTTGATTACAGCCAAAAAGTTTCAATCACAAACTTGAATTTAATTTTTTTCTCAAGAACTCCTAAAAAAGTAGTGAAGGGAAACCAGAAGAAAGGACTAATCATCTGTTGCAAGAAGACAGAATGCATAGTTGTTGGTAAAAGGTACAGCCCAACATGCAAATTACAAATTGGAGATGCCAAAATCAAACAAGTACAACACTTGATCTGGGAAGGGTTTTAAAAGAAGACAGAAAGTGCAGTATTAAAATCTGAAGGCACCTTGGAATAGTGAAAGATGCCTTCCAAAAGTTAAGCAAAGTATTAAGAAACCGGAAAATTTTGTTAGAAACAGAGTACTAACTGTTATATAATATCAGTCCTCCTACATGACAGTGAATGCTGGACAATCTCCTCACAGATGAAGAGACTTGAATCAACAGAAATGTGATTCTACAGAAGGATGCTGAGAATACCATGTGTCAAATATGTGAGCAATGACAAAGTTTTAGAAAAAATGTAAACAAAAGAGCACTTGTCTTTTACATCAGGAAAAGACAGTTGAAATTTCCAGGGCCCATAATGAGGAAAGAAGACATGGGTAATTTGATACTCACAAGACAGACTGATGCCATTCAGAGGAAAACAATGCATAAGCTACCTAGCAAGCTTGAGTAAATGGATGGCAAAACAAGTTTTAGCAGAGATAACAAAAAGATACAATTTATTAAGTTTCAAAGGACAAGAAATTGTAGAGAGACATGGCACATAGAAGAACCATGATACTGTAGAGAACAAATGAATATGTGCTGAGTGCTTGATTATCTATACTTGTTAGAGCATTGGCCTGGTGGTTTCAGTATTCCAAATATGAGACTCATAGCTAAATGGATGGGATATTTTATCTGGCAATAGTACTAAATACATAATGTTTTTTGTTAGAATAGCATTTCATTAATTTCATCTATCATGATATTAGTTGCTATCTTCTACATCATTTTCAAAAAAATAAATTCTGCTATTTAGAAATACCCAAAGCTCACTTACTCACTCTCTCTCACACACAACATAACAGGAAATTATGGTCATTTTAATACTATGTATTTTTATTGACAGAAAACAACACCTCAATCACATTTTTATAAAAACAAATATACAAGTTTGCCTGAAATAATTTTTTTTTTTCCTTAAGACACAGAATTCTTGAGATGCTTATAAAAAAGCCACCATTCAACAGAGGAGAATCTAGTCCACTAAACACAGAAGCTCTTGTGGATCGTCTGTGGAAAATAATGAAGTAAGGAAAAATCGAAGATTGCTTACTAAACATGACTTTCTTTTTCAGTATTCCTTTTACATTCCTTAAGAACGTTTAAATTTTCTTAAAATCCATAATTTATTTAGCATTCACCCTTTATAAAATATGTCTTTACTTTTATTTATTTTGAGCACCGGTGATTCATAATTTATTTAATTTTAACATTATTTGTGTCTCCATTTAAGAACAAATTCTCAGTCAATCAGTTATAATAACCACTGTTTCCTTTAAGATCCAGTTGATTTGTAAGTTAAATAATACTTTCTTAAAAAGTTCCTCTATTATTAAAAGATGTATCAGTTTCCCAGTGAAAGGGATGCAGGAACATAAACCCTGAAAAATTCTTACATGTTAAAAAGGCATTCTATGTTACATGAGTGTTATTATATGAGAATACATTTTTATTAAATCTAAATTAAATTGTTGCATTCAACTTTTTATGGTAGCTAAATCTGTTTTAACTTCTCTATTATATTTTAGCACTGGACTTCCACATGATAGCCGTCTTCGCTGTGGGCTGGCAGATTTATATTTTAAGTTGTATGGGAGAACACGCCCAACAAGTTTACCCATTCCAGAGGTAGGTATGATATATATATAAGAGAGTGAACAAAAATATTTCATGAAAAAGATCAATATATTTTCAAGAAATTTGTACAACTTCTAAAAATAAGATGTTATTCAATAAAACCAATCTCAGCCATTATTAATAATTTTTTAATTGATCTCTGAAGCAACTTTATGCCTGGATATGGGCTTCAATAACATTTTGGTATTGTGATTGGTCTGCTTTTCAATGATGTCCCAAACATATAAACCCAGGAGTTTCCAATTAAGTGAGCTAGAAGTCATGTGTTTGGGGTAATATGATTGTAAAAATTTTCAACCAGTTATTTCTGCATGTGGGAGGAGGCAGTATAATAGAGCTTTCCCTTTGCCATACCTTCAATCAAAGGTTTGACCACCATGTTCAACACCTCAATGTAGATAGTGGCATAAACCCTGCAACCTTGTGGATAGAAAATGGTTCTTATTGCTCATGGCCACCAGAACCACCAGAGACAAACTTTAAGTGCATCACCATGGCTATCTTCTTAGTGTTGGCTTAGAGTTGCATCATCCCTTGTATTCACCTTCTAGTCCTGGTTGATGGACCAGGGCTCAGCAAACAGTTCAATCAAGCTACACAGATTTTGTCAGGCATGGACATCACTCTTAGTAGGTCTTGTGTACTACGTCTGATAGTGTCTTCCTCAGCAATGGCCTCTTTTGACCTGCTGCCCTTACAACATCTGACCACTTAGAATGTTCCTTTTTCTTGGCTACAGTTGACATATCCCCACTAGAGGCCTCTGATTCTGACCTTGAACACAGAGAACCTGACCCCTGTCAAGAAACTGACTATCTTTAAATTGACTTACTGTTTGACAGTATTACAAGTATAGTTTCAGGTTGAAAACTGCCATATTAATGCTCTCAATACAGTTGAAATGGAAATATCAAAATGCATGCCATGTAGCATTATGTTATGTCCCCTTCCATTTATGGCCTACTAAAGGAGCATCCTAAAGTACTTAGTACCTCACTTGTGTCTGTGTTTCTGATTTTTAGTATTGATTTTCCTGATAGTTGAATCAAAATAGATTGATCAACTTAAATACTGTGTCTGCTAACAAGATTAAAATGGCTCCCACGAAATTTTTAAAAAACCATTAAACCCTTGCCAAAAAATAGTGTTTTTTTTTTTTGTGGGGTGGGGGTTAAACCATCATTTAATACAAAAAGTAAAGTCTTATTTAATGCTTATTACTATGAAATATTCATATTGTCCAGCAGTAGTCATTAATCTTACATATTATTCTGCCCCTCCCTTCACTGCTTTAGCACTTATATAGTCTCTATGCCTTAGCTATACTAATTAGGCAGTTATTTATATATCACTACACTTATTATATTAAATGTATTTGCAAGTATAGCTTATTAGCAGAGGTTGAAGCTGCTGTTACAAACATTTGATAAAACTGAAAGTGTAATGCTGCTTTTAGTCAAAAAATATGAGAGAAAGCTGTGAGGATTGAAGTTGATGTTCCAGAAGAGAGAGAAACCAAATAACTGAAATGTTATTGTTGTGTTGGACACCTACCACCCCTCTTGAAGATGAACTTGTCTGCGTCTGTGAACAAAGACTTTAAATAGTGGCATGTCAGTGGACATGGAAGACCGATAGACAGAGAAGTTCTTAGCTGAGCTAGTTATTGACTACTCAGGCGATTTCTGTACCTATTTACCAACCTATTAAAACCCTTTTTATTGTTACGTGTTATTTGGCGTTTGTCTCTACTAACCCCAAATCAACATCATAACAGTGGCGATGAGAGATTCATTCATCACGCTGAGTGGAGAATTTTTCAACTCTAGGTGAACTATATAAATTTTTTTTTTTTCTTGCTCTGAAAAAAAAAAAAATATGTCGAACTTTGTTCTTCACGAAGAAATGGGTTTTCAACGTGCCAAAAAGAAGTAAGACTTGTGCTTATTGTGGATATATGTGTTTTTCCCTTTTTGTCTGTTTTCGAAAAGTGTTTTGTGTAATCTATTACGCATAATGGAAGATTTGATTGCATTAATGAAAACTAGTGCAAAGTCAAATTCAGCAACAAGAGCAACAAAAATTGTTTTTTGGAACTATTGGATTTACAAGTTCAGCAGCGAAATGACACAAAGGCTTTATATGAAGCGATTTTTACTTAAGAATCCAGTAAATTCGTCATTCACGGTCGAAGGTATTGCTAATTCTATTACTGAGTTCAAATTTAACCCAGAGGAGGGCATAACATTTCCTGCGTATTTCAGAAGATTTGAAACAATATTTGAAAAAAAATGTGAAGGTTGGACTGATGAACAAAAAGTGAGTTTACTTTTACAAAAGTTGGGTACAGATGAAAATAATAAGTATACGAATTTTGTCCTTCCAAGAAAAACTGGTGACATTTCTTTCGAAGAAACTGTTAATACTTTATCTAGTATTTTTGGCGAGCGAGTTAGTTTGTTTCATACTCGTGTTTGAATATGGTAAAGTGTTTGAATATGGTAAAGTGTGATGATGAGGATGTTGTTACGTATGCTGGAAATGTTAACAGAATGTGTGAACGTTTTATGTTACATGATCTTTCAATTGATCGATTTAAATGTTTGATATTCGTACAAGGCTTGACTTCTAGCAAAGATAAGGACATAAGGTCCCGAATATTGGCAAAACTTGAACAAAATTCCGAGATCACTTTGCAGAAGGTTACGGAAGAGTGACAAAGAATTGAAAACTTAAAACATGATAATACGCAAATTGAAGAAAAAGATGTATCCCGTGTCCATGCTATTCGACCAAAAACGGGAATAGTTAATAAAAACGTTAAAAAACCAACGTGCTTTGGATGCGGTGGTGGTCATTTTAAAAGTGAATGTTTTTTTCGTGACAAAAATTGCTATTCGTGTGGCAATAAAGGCCATGTAAGTACTCATTGTAAAAGCAAAAGAAAAAAATTTAAGTTGAAAAAAGATAATATGAATATTGTGTTGTCACGTCAGGAGATTGAGGAGGGGCAGAAAAGAAAATTCATACAGGTAAAAATTAATGGAAAAAATGTTAAACTACAGCTAGATACTGGAAGTGATATTTCCATTATTAATACAGCAACATGGGTTAAAATAGGCAGACCTTTGCTTAAAAAGACTGAAAAAGTGGCTCACGGGATTTCTGGAAGAAAATTGCATTTTCAAGGTGAATTTTCTTGTAATATTTCATTTGTTGGTAAGACACTAAAGTCTAAAAGTGTATGTGCTACAAAATGCTTCAAATTTGTTTGGAACAGATTGGATTATACTTTTTAATTTATGGGAACTCCCTATAAATTCTTTTTGCAATAGAATTAATGTTTCTTCTCCATGTAAAAAATCGGGTTACAGAAAATTTGGTGAAAGATCTGAAAATAAAATTTCCACAAGTATTTTCAGAAAGTCTTGGATGTTGCAAAAGACAAAGGCAAAATTTGAAGTGAAGGAAAATGTAAAACCTATTTTCAAGCGAAAAAAAAGAAATGTGCCATTTGGTGTTTTGGAACAGATTAACAAAGAATTGGAAAATTATTGAAAATTTGAGTTATTTCACGCATTGAATTTTCAGAGTGGGCCTGCCCTGTTGTATATGTTAAGAAAAAGAATAATAGAATTCGGATGTGTGCCGATTTCTCTACGGGTCTAAATGATTGCTTAAAAGACCACACATATCCTTTGCCTTCACCAGAAGACATTTTTGCAAGTTTAAATGGAGGAAAAATATTCTCTAAATTGGATTTATCGAATGCCTATCTCTAAGTGAAAGTGGACGAAGAATGTCCTAAATTGTTGACTATCAATACACACAAGGGTTTATACAAATTAAACCGTCTGCCTTTTTGTTTAAAAGTATCCCCTAGTATTTTTCTGCAAATTATGGACACTGTGCTGGCAGTGTTGGACTTCGCCATTGCATATCTTGATGATATTTTGATAAAAAGTAAAGATCGAAATGAACATTTGGAACATATTAATCAGGTTTTTGAAAAAATTGAAGAATATGGATTCAAACTTGGAGCTGAAAAATGTGAATTTTTTATGAGTGAAATTAAGTTTTTGGGGCAGATAATAGACTCTGATGGAAGAAGACCAGATCCGGCGAGGGCAGAAGCGATCAAAAGCATGCCAACTCCCAAGAGTGTAGTAACGCTACAAGCGTTCTTAGGACTTGCTAACTATTATGGGATATATATTCCTAATTTGTGCAGCTTTACGGCTCCATTAAATAAATTGCTTAAAAAGGGAGCAAAGTGGGAATGGTCAGAAGTGTGTCAGAAGACGTTTGACAAAATAAAGAATATTTTGACGTCGGAATTATCACTAATACATTATGACCCTAAACAGGAAATTATAGTGGCATCGGACATGAAAGTACGGAATAGGTGCGGTAATTCTGCATAAATTCAGAGACGGCAATACAAAGCCAGTGGCACATGCATCAAGGACATTATTACTTGCAGAAAAAGAAGTACTCTCAAATTGAGAAAGAAAGCTTAGCTATCATCTATGCTTGTAAAAATTCCATAAGTACATACATGGAAGAAGGTTTATATTGCAGACCGACCATCACCCGCTGCTTTCAATCTATGGTTCAAAGAAGGGTATACCTACTCATCTCTTGAAAACCATTTGCAACAATGGGGAACCATTTTGTTGAATTACAATTTCAAAATGGAATTTTTTATCATCTAAAAAATTAAGCCATGCTGATGGTTTATCTAGACTGATCCCAATGTCTTGGAACCGTCTTGAACCGCTTAGAAGATACAGTGATAAAGGTCGTTACAAGCAGAAAATGAATTGGTTGAAGTAATGTATAACACAGTAAAAAAATTACGGTGACATTAGATGAAATAAAATTAAAAGCAGAAAACGACATTTTTATTAGAAAAATGAAAGAAATGCAATTAACTTCAGAAAAGTATAAAACTTCTTCACCAGCATATTCAATATGTGATGAAGTGCTGTTATATGCTGGAAGGGTCGTGATACCGGTTGTACTACAAAAATGGAACTCAATTCACAGGAAGTGAATTTAAGACGTTTTGTAAGACTCTGGGAATTGACCACATCACGACTTCACCGTACCATCCTAGGTCAAATGGACAGGCTGAACGGTTTGTTGATACGTTCAAGAGAGCCCTTAAAAAAAACAAATGGTACTAATACAGATGATGGTAATATACAGCAGTTTTTAAGTATATACAGAATAACACCAAATCCAAACGCAATATCAGGGATGTCTCCAGCTGAACTGATGTTTGCTAGAAAAATTAGATCTGTATTCAATAGGCTGCTGCCGGAAAGAAAAGAGTTACCAGAACAAAACGCATCAGGAAAATATGAAATATCTCAGGCTGGGAGATAAAGTTTTTTTTTTTAAATTACAAAAATGGGAAGGAATTTTGGCAAGATGGAGTGGTAACTCAAAGAATTGGTAAGATGTTATACATGATAAGAAGTAAAAAATGGACGCACAAAAGACATTTGAACCAATTAAGAAAAGAATCATTGAAGAAATAAGTAAAGAAAATGAAGAACCAATGGAGGTATTATATGATTTATTTGATATACCAACTCCACCATTGCCTGAAACAGTTGTTCAAAGAAGGACAAGCAAAAGAAAAAGAACTAGGTGGAACGTTTAAGTCCAGATCCCAAAAGAAAAAATATTAATTCCTCCGAATTAATCTCAAGGGGAGGTGTTGTGTGAAACCTACCCCCCCTTGAAAAGATGAACTTGTCTGCATCTGTGAACAAAGACTTTAAATAGTGGCATGTCAGTTGACATGGGGAAGACAGATAGACAGAGAAGTTCTTAGCTGAGCTAGTTATTGACTACTCAGGCGATTTCTGTACCTTTTTTACAACCTATTAAAACCCTTTTTTTTGTTACGTGTTATTTGGCGTTTGTCTCTACTTAACCCCCCAAATCAACATCATAACAGTTATGCAGAAAACATCATAGTTATAGAATTTCTTGTAAATGTGCTTGTGAAAATTGCAAAAAAATCTCCATCTAAAATTTCATTAACAGCAAAAAAATATGTCATGATTTTGTTCATTACTTGTCAATGCAGAACGGAATTATGCATAAATCTGATGCAAATAAATGTGAATGTCACTAAAAATTGTTTAAATTATAAGGGCAAGATTTACCTAAGATGTTTTTGACTCTTGTTTTAATCTGGTATCTTCAAATTCTATTTAACATTCATTTTGATGAAATCCTAGTTGAAATGATGTTTGTGTATAGTTTCAAATTCTGTAAAAGTTTAAATAGTTTCAAAATAAGCTATAACAAATTCCAAAATCTATCTTACTATGTTGCTTAAAAAAGTATACTTTGTATTTAATAATATATGTATTTTTCCAACAGTCTGTGATGGTTTTAAACCTCAAAGAAAAGAAAACTTTATTAAATCCATCTGTATTGCCAAATGATGTGCCTGTGAGTATTTCATATTTAATAAAATTAAAACATTCCAAATTGCCAAAAGTTTATAAATAATTATCTGATAAACTCTGTTTTATCAAGCATTTTGTAATACATTAGATAATTGGGCATTTTTACTTCACCCACATTTCTGGAAATGTGCTGTAACTTTTTTCTCATAAAATTCTCTATATTCAAATTGTATATCAGCTCCAATCCTCAAATAGAAAAACACTGGATTATTTTACTTAGAGCAAAACTAATAGTCTGTACAAAATTTTAAAAAAGGATCATGATTGAGTTATTTCAATTCTGTTGATAAAATTCTATGTTGAGTCATTTTAGTGTTAGTTCAAACTTAATTTGATTTATAATATAGTTTAGCTTTGTCTTTTGTATAAGTCAATTTTTTATATTGCAGATAATCTGAATCTATTAAAAGGAGGTCATCTCTGAATTTTGAGAGATAACCTTTCATTGGCAAATGTTTTCTTTCATAAGAGCAAATGACAGCCTCATTTAATGTTGTAATGAAAAAATTACTGAACCCTCTCCACTTTTTCACTACACATGAAAGTTTTATTTGTTTATGTTATTGTACAAAACCTAAATCTCTCATATTTTTTTCTTCTTGAAAAAGGATGCAAACCCAATTGTGATGACTGGAACAATAACTTCATCTGCATTGCCTCCTGTGGTTCCAACTAGTTCAGTTGATACTCTTAATTCTCCGACAACTACTTCCTTAACAGTGTCATCAAATGCTATATCAACTCCTGGAATAACTACATCCATAACTAGTACAACTACTGTGACGACATCAAGTGATGTCTCCATTTCAGGTGGTATTCCAAGTACCACACTTGCTTCTTCATCTTTTATAGGTCCAGTTACAACTAATAAAGCTGAGAATGTAAGTATGGCTCTTAAAAAGAGAAAAAAAACGGATAGTTAACTATATAAAACAAAAACATAAAACAACTCGTAAAGAGGCGATATAAATATTTTATGTCCTTTATCTCAAAGCCAAATTAACAAAGTAAGTCTAAGTAATTAACCCTTAAAAATTCTTTCAATAATAATAGCTTGAGTAAAAGTTTAAGTCATGCCATTATGGCCTTTTGTGATGCATGTAGATATGTCTTTTCAGAATTATTACTGTTTCTTCAGCTTGTTCCGATGTTAAAAATCTTAAATCTCTCTCTCTCTATATATATATACTGTCCCTTCAAGATTCACCTTATTTTGTCAAAATTGATATTCTTCAATTGGTTAACCTTCAAAGTTCTTATATATTTTTTCCAGACTAATGACTCCAAGACCAATATTATTCCCATCATGCAGCCATTCCAACCCCTAAATGTCAAAGTGGAACCCAAAACTTCCATTGAGACCCAGCCTCAGCACACAATCACCTCTGTTGCTGCTGCTGCAGCTGCAGCAGTATCTGCAGCAGTGGCTGCTGAACAAGCTGCTGCTGCTGAGAAAGCTGCTTTAGCAGCTACAGCAACTGCAGGGGGAGGCGGAGTGGAAAGAGTCCCTCATTTTTCACAAATGTCTGTGTCAGATGTTGAGCCTAAAAGGGGTTTGAAACGTGCTGCTGAATCCCCTTTGCCTGTAGATATTAAATCAGATTTTACAGCATTCCGGGAGGATATGATACCTGAACGTATGCAACTGGAGGATCAAAGTATGTTTAAAGTCAGAGTGAAAGTAAGTGAATTTTATTCCTCTTAGAATTATTTGTTCATACATTGAATATTGTTGTCAAGTCTGATGTATTGCTTTTGCTATATATCTTGACAAAATCCAAAGAAGAATCACCAATGTTATTGGTCCTGACATGGCATCTCGGCTTCAGTCACTTTTCCACCACCATAATGTAACTTCCTTGTGCCTCTTATAAATATTTTCATGGTAATTGTTCTAATGAGCTTCCCTCTTTGCTACCTCAACTTTACAAATTTAAGCACAGTACTAGAGTGGTAGCTCATTATTTTACTGTTGAAATTGTCATATGTAACCATAAATTCTATGCTGACAGTTTCTTCTCTCATACTTCTCTCTTCTGGTTTGCTTTCAAGTCAACTTTGATCTTCAAAAATTTACATATAATGTCAATTGTTATTTTCTGTTTCCTTGAATCTTGTTCTTTTATTGTCCTCTCTCCTTAATAATAATTTTTCTCAGATTATTTCACTCTCAGTAACCTTTTATTGTTTTGCTTGGGGTGAAATGATTATAAAAAAATTGTGATATTCTTTTTATTTTTTTCAACATGTATTCTTAATTCAAAACCTTTTTTTCACAGTTGGCTATAAAAACTTTTGGTCCTTTGTCAAAATTTTTTCAACCTTTCAATTTCTCTCTAAGCCTTCATAGGTGATTAGGTAAAAAGCTGTAATTACTTTTATACTATTAGAGTATTAACATTAAACTACTACAGTATTGCTGAGTTGGTTAACTCTTAATTGGCTTTTACTTGATTGAATTTGTTCTTGTCAAACTTGTTCAATTCTTGAATTTGCTAAATTAGAACTTGATGAACCACTTGTAAGCTGTCTTATGGCTGTGATTTGTTTCAGTGCTTTGATTTAATCATTACAGCAAACACATTTCCTGCTGTTCAGGGCATTTTCCTGGCATTGTAAATGCATTTATACAATTGAAATTGAGAAGACTGATAAATTGAAAGGGTTTGGAAAAGTTAAAGATTGCCTTGAAGGTCACTAAAACCCAACTAGATAATGGAAAGCAAGACAAGCACTAGAAAATGTCAAGCCACCCAAGTCAAACATCACAAAGGAAGTAAGGTTGATAATCAAGACCTTACAGAGTTACATTAGTATCATCATAATACCAGCTGACATAGTTACAATGGTGGACAAAATTGGAATACTCTGAGAAATTGGCAAGCCTACTTGCAGATAGTAGATATAGCAAGGTAAAAAAGTATCCAACCCTAAAAATTGATAGGAACCTGTCACAGATCATAAATAAGAACAAGAACTACTTCATACTGAATAAGTATAGGTAGTTTACTCAGTATTACACCAAACTACCACATATTGTCTTCTTCACAAGTTAAAAGGTTATGGTATTCATGGACAATTTTTGAACTTTTGTATCAAATCATGAAATGAAAGTTGTCTTGAATGGCCACACTTCTATACCTTTTCAACTTCAAAATGGACTTATTTTCAAGTAAAAAGATTAATCAACTTCAAATTGGATCAATCAACTTCAAAATGGATCAATCAACTTCAAATTGAGAAAATGTCAAAAACCTAAAAACAATCAACTTCAAAATAAGAATAAACAACTTCAAATTGGGATGTTTTCTTTGGTAAATGGAAAATTATTTTTTCAATTAATTTACCCCATGAGTAAGGAAATTGTCTGTTTGTCTTCATTATATAGATGAAGAAAAAACCAAAATACAAACAACTTAGAGGCCAAGAAAGCATTAGGTGAGCCTACAGTAAAAGTAGGAGGAGAAAGTCCTGTATGGGCAAAAATGATGATTGATGATGATGATGATGCTGGAGAAACCTCTACAAAAGAAGCTGAAGAAGAATTAGCAACAGCTCCAAAGAGGATTTACCTCAAGAAAACTGTGGCTGGCAAAAAAAAGGCCCAGATTTTAGCTGTACATACTGCAGCAGGAAATTGGAAAGACCTGGCAAGAACAATTGGTGTGCCTCTGCCAACAGCATACCGTTGGTTAGACCAGGGTGCTGATAAGAGTGACTCTAGGGGAGGAGCAGGAAAATATAAAATTATGCAAGAGCATAAGAATTTTATGGCCGAATTAATTGAAAACTCTCCTAGGGTCACTCTTCAAGACATTGTAAATAAGTTGGTCACAAAGTATGAGGTTTGTGTGACGAAAGAATGCATAAGAAAGCACTTGGACTCCATGGCCTTTACTTTAAAAGTGATTCATTATGAACCAGAAGCTGCCAATAATAATGTCAATAAGGCAAAACGTAAGGATTACGCAGTAGCTTTATTAGAATTTCAGTCCTAAAGTGTGCCAATTCTGGATGAAACCAATTTTAATCTCTATATTTCAAGAAGAGGTCACTCTAAAAAAAGGCACAAGGTGCACTACAGTCGCAACCGGATCCAGGGGAAATAACCTCCATGTTATTGGATGTATTAGTAATAATGGATTAATTCATCATAAAATTAAAAGAGGTTCTTTCCAAAAAAGAGGATGCGAAAGAATGGACCAGGGAGTGCCTTAGAAACGCAAATGAAATTTATGAAAGGGGAGTTGTCTTAGTTATTGCCATACTTTAATTGAAGAAGTTGTGGAGGAGGATGAATTTAGGCAACACCAAATTTTCAGACTTGCCCCCTATAGTCCGATGTTAAAACCCATTGAAAAGGTTTGATCAGTCATTAAAGCTGACGTAAAAAGAAGTATGGCAGACTCAATTGTTGGGATTTTAAGAGGTGATGGCCAGGGATCTTTAACTACTAAAGAATTCTGCCTCAGCAAGTTAGAAGCGATGATCTCCGAGGCAATTAATAATATTTCCCCTGAGACTTGCACTAACTTTGTATCTGGAATACAGAGATTACTTCCCTCTGTAATTAACTTAGATGATGTAATCTTTTAAATAAATTTCTTAGGAATTTTTATATTTTTTATATCCCTTTTAAGAAAAAATAAAAGAATAAATATTAAATTTATTAGTATTATAATAATTCTCAATTTGAAGTTGGTTATTTCTCATTTTGAAGTTGATGATTTCTCATTTTGAAGTTGATGAATCCATTTTGGAGTTGATTAATTTTTTTACCTGAAAATAAGTCCATTTTGAAGTTGAAAAGGTATAGATCTTTTTGCATTAATGCAGATGTCCCCCAAAAATTGCAAAATTATCAAAATATATAAACCAATTATAATGCAATATTTGCAGTAAAAATTACAGACATACTGTAATTATATGCAAGAAAAACCTTATCTACCCAATGAATAAGGATACGCACTCAAAATATTGAGTTTGTAGACTTGCCTAAAAAAAAATTAAATGAATGTTTGGTTCAGAGGAAGAGATGTTTTCAACTTATATAAATGAATTTATGCGACAAGAGTAAATGAAACAAATGCTTGGAAAATTTTGATAAATTTATGAATAAAAATATTTTGTCAATCATTAACCATTGTGCCCACAAAAAAATGACAATTTTCTCCTTCACTCTTCAGCAATGTTTATTGTTTTAAAAAGTGATGATTAGAATTGGAATAAAACCTAAACACGTGAAAGTGAATTTATACATTTTCTTTTGAGAATTTACAACATGCATATTAAAATATTTATTTATTAGATTGTTTATTTACAAGAATATTTTATATTTACAACATACTAAAAACTAATACAATGCAATATTTATCATTTACCAATTTATAAAGAAATAAATATGAAAACAATTTTTTATTCATAAATTTATAAACATTTACTAAATTATAAAATATGTGAACCAACTATAAAGAAATCCTTATTAATTACTATTTTATAAAGTTCAAATCAATTGACAATTAGTGTTTTACCAACGACTACAATAAGCAATATAATAAATAAATAGTGTTTATTATTTTTGTTATTTACTTTCATATGTTTAGGTTTTAATATTCTAGTTATCGTTTTTAAAACAATAAACATTGCTGAGGAGTGAAGGTAGTTAAAATAATAGCAGTGTCAAGGGACAAACTATTCTTTTGATATTGTTTTTCAGATACAAAGGTTAAAGATTGACAAAATTTCTTTTCATATTTATTTCTTTATAAAATCTTAAATAATAAATATTTCATAATGGTTCACATAATGGCTCAGTTAGTTCATATTTTTATAATATTGTAAATATGAAATTTGTCTTTGTCATCAATTCTCAAGAATAAAGAAAATATATAAATCCACTTTCATAAGTTAGGGTTTTATTAAAATTGTAATCATTACTTTTTAAAACAATAAATGTGGTTGAGGGAATTAAAAGTGTATACAGTAATAACAGTGTCAAGAGAATAACTCCTTTTGACACACAGTTTTTTGCAGGCCCCAAAGGTTAAATATTACCAATTTCATTGTATTTTTTTTTAAACTCAAAGATTGTTTTATTTACCTTTTCCAAGTACAATTTACTGAATGTGCAACAGAATAATGTGATGCATTAATGCTTCTTAATGTCTACCATTTATCTATTTGCTTAAAATGCTTTATCCATTTTTATTCTGAATAGAACCATTTGATGTTTTTTTTAACAGAGCAAGAGTGAATCTGATGACTTCATAATGCCACCCTCACATGTTCCTTCAACAATGCCTGATCGTCCCACTCTGGATCTTTCTATGTCACACTCTGATGGTATCAGTAACTTAAGTGAAGAGTCCAACTCTCCTCCTTCATCTGCTCACACTCTGCCTGGTAAGTCCCAATCATATATATATATATATATAGCATCTAACATACATAGCCAAATATTCTAATCAATCTTTTGTATGTCTTCAGAATAATTCATTTTAATGTATTTTGTTAACCCAGTATTATCTAGCACAAAATAATTATATTTATATGATTCTCATACCAAATTAATCTTTCTTTATATGTACATTTTCATGTTTAAAATGAAATATTTTCATATGTGTACATGACAGTTTTATTTAAAAAAAAAAAAAATAAACTCAAAAATTTCATATGCTGCAAGATATGTTTTATGTTATAAAAATCTTGACATTTATTTCCATTTATTATAATTAGTACAAATCAAGGGACACCTGTAAAATTTCCCAGATTTTCTGAGAGGCTCACCTGTGGCCATTGGTTGATTTGAGATGGAATTACCCATATATATATATATATATATATATATATATATATATATATATATATATATATATGAGTTGGGATCAAATATAGATTGAAATCTGACAGAATGATAATATAAAAAAAAAAAATATGAAATGTTTATCAGTCTAAGATGTTTCACTTTTAAAGCATCTTCAGACAATGAGATAGGGAGAGAAAAAGAAAGAAATTCTGGTATTTTTACTTTTGTGTTGTTTGATTTTCATTGTTCAGTCATGTTTCATGTGCATACATATCTCATTCTCTGATGAAGAATTAATAAAAGTGAAACATGATAGGTTGCTAAACATTTCCTATTTGTTCTTTATCTTATCAGATATATATATATATATATATATATATATATATATAATCACTAGCAAAAAATAAACATAATTATGTTAAAACTGTTTTCTGAATTCAGTCTTTCTTCTTGCCAAATTTAATGACTGTACACAAAACAGTTTAGTTATGTAGATATGTAGAGTGAATGTATAAACAAACTCTTATGAATTATATGTATATGCACATACATCTCTCACTATATATGTCATACTATGTGCGATGGATAAATTGTCGTCTAAATTACGCAACAATGTACATAACACTGACATTTCATTTTAACAGATATATTTGCCAAAATTACACAAATACAGTAGCGGCCATAATATATGGAACGGAGACAATAAAGACATAAATATGTGTATTACTTAAAAAGTAATGCATGATTAGCAATGAAATTTTTACCAAATAAAGATTAGGGTGTAATGCATAAATATTATACAAAGTTACAAAAATTTACATAATAGTTTTTTTTTAAATAAAGATTAAATAGTAAAGAGTAAATTTATTATTTATAAAATCGTCATGTGCTTCAACCATGGCCTCCAGACGGCTTCAGAATCTCCTGCATCTCTTTTGGACAGTCTCTTTGTTTAAGTAAGTGAATGCTGCCATAATCCTTGCCTTCAGTTCATGTTTAATATTACAAGGAGTTTTTTTTTGGTGTCTCACTCAACTACACCCCACATATAATAATCAAGGGAGTTGCAGTCTGGAGAGTTAGGTGGCAAGATGTAAGGGGTGATGGGGTTGCAGAAATTGTCTGGTAGCCATGACTGGGTTTTCCTGCTTGTGTAGCATGATGCAGAGTCCTGTTGCCAGACATAGGTCTTCCAGAAGCCACCCTCTTGGCCTTGTGGCAAGATGAATGGAGGCATAACATTGCTATCACTAGTGATCTATCCAAACACCTATCATAATCACCACTAAACACATCCAACTCTTTCTGAATCCTCTGCATTGGCTATCCAAACACTCTGAAATGTCTGTATTGGAGCTTCCAGCACAAATGCCAAACAGTACAGGATGCCATTTCCAAATTTCTGGAATATTGTGCAAATGACAAAATCAAAAACAACACACCTGTACAAAATTAAAAATATAAAATGGTGACAATTTACACATCGCACCCTGTGTGTACGTGTATATATATATATATATATATATATATATATATATGTATATGTATGTAATGAGAGAAAAAGAGAGAGAATTATTATAATAATTATTCTTCTCATGCTAATATTTTTAATGACAAATTTTTATGCATGATTATTATGCTTCTTGCATCATAATTATAATCCCTACTTGATTATGAATTGATTGTAACCATAACACAGCAAAAACGGCACATTGTAGTGAGACTTTTGTTAGCACAACTGTTAACACACTTTAACTTGAAGAATAAAGTCTTTTCCGCTCCAATTTGTACCTTAGTAATAATACTGATGTTGAGGTTCACATTTATGTTCACCCTAAATAATCCTATTTTTCAAGGGAGATAACTCGGTACATATTGAATGATTTTTGTAGACTTGTTATCCTTATTAAAATTAGTTTAATGGCTGCCAATTTAAAATACATTATTTCTTTTTCATTGATTTTTAACTTCAAATCACTTCCACTTATTATTTTTTCTCTAGAAATGAGTAGCACTTCTAGTTCCACACCTTCCTCATTTGGTGGCTTGAAACTTCAGTCACAGTCATCACTTGACTTCTCCCGGCCTGGTTCAAGTGAAGAAAGCTCTAGCAAGTCTCACAAGTCCAAGAAAAAGAAGAAGAAAAACAAACACAAGCATAAGCATAAACACAAACAAGATCGACCTGACAAGCCAGAGTCCTTCTTCCGTGACAAGGAGAGGTCCGAACGACACCATTATAGTTCAGCAGGTAGTAATTCACCAGGCACCCAACCACCAAGTTCTCCAGAATTTCAAGTTATTTAAAACAAAATCCAAAACCCAATTTTTTGTCATTAAAAAAGGTTCAAGGAAGGTAAATTGACCAATAAACTATGTTGTAAACTGATGGACATTTTTTTTTTTTTTTTTGTATATTGTTCTAAAGAATGTCACCAGATGTGCTTCATAACAATTCATGTTTTAATGAAGTTACTGGGGTTTTTCAATATCTTAAATTGGACTGAATCAGTGTGGTTAAATAATATAGGACATAATAACATCATGGTGAGTTGGGGATCTAACAAGTTATAAAAAGGATGCCATTATGAACTCAGGATGCACAGCCTTCTCTATAACTAATTATTGAAGGCTACCCAGTTGAGTTTTGCTAAGTTCTTTACTTGAACTGAAGCAGGTAAGGGAATTGCCCAAAGATTAAAATGTTGATTGTTCGGAATTCATCTAGAAAATTGATTATTACTTAAAGCAACTTCTAGGAATTTGTGCCATACATTGTTGAATTATGAGAGGAAAAGTAGAAACTGCATTGCTATAACTTACTTCAAAAATTTTTCCTTTCAGGAAACCCAAAAAGCCTTTACCATTGTTCCTAGAAAGTGAAACTAAAATCTCAAATACTGGTGAGAATTAGTGCCTTTCTTCAAAATTCCACCTTCCAAAAATTCTAAGAGCCTTATTAATTTCTTCAAGTAAATATACACTAGAATATATACTATAAGTTGTTCCTTCATTTCCTGTGAAAAAAAGCAGGATTTGTTGCAGTTAATTCTTTTATTCTTTATATATATATAAAATATGTGGTGCAGTTCAATTTATATTACAATGAATCATTCATACAAAAAGTAGATTAGTAAAGTCAATGATATAAAATGGCGCAAACTCTTCACAAACAAAATTTTAAAGTTGCATTAACCTACGAACCACTCGATGAATGTTATGATCCTTGTTTCTAATAACTACAAGCTGTATAAGTTCTTTTTTTAATCTGCTGGTACTTTCAACTGTACACACAGTCATCATCAGGCATGGAAATTATTTTGTTTTTAGTAAATCCAGGTAGTATCAGAAACGAAAGATTAAATGCAAATCGAAATATGTTTTTTTTAGAAATGTCTTATTGTTAATGGATAAAAACTTTTGGAGCATGCAGTTGCAACGCTAAGGTTGAATTTTTTGGAAAATTTAAGAGTGTGTTTTTTACTTATATGGTAATTTTAGAATTTTTTTTGTTGTAGGAGTTTATCAGTCAATGTGGCATGAACTAAATTGTTCAACAAATAGAGTAATGTCTCAGCTGTTATCCCGAAAATTTGCATGTTGGATCAGTTCTCTTAAATCAAATATGTGGTGCAGTTCAATTTATATTACAATGAATCATTCATACAAAAAGTAGGTTAATAAAGTTAATGATATAAAATGGCGAAAACTTTTCACAAACAAAATTTTAAAGTTGCATTAACCTATGAACCACTCGATGAATGTTATGATCCTTGTTTTTAATAACTACAAGCTGTATAAGGTCTTTTTTTAATCTTCTTTAATTTAAAACTTTTGGAGCGTGCAGTCACAATGCTAAGGTTGAATTTTTTTGAAAAAACACACTCTCTTAAATTTTCAAAAAAATTCAACCTTAGCATTGCAACTACATGCTCCAAAAGTTTTATCCGTTAACAATAAGACATTTCTAAAAAACATATTTTGATTCACATTAATCTTTCGTCTCTGATACTACCTGGATTTATTAAAAACAAAATAATTTCCATGCCTGAGGATGACTGTGTGTACAGTTGAAAGTACTAGCAGATTAAAAAAAGACTTTATACAGCTTGTAGTTATTAAAAACAAGGATCATAACATTCATCAAGTGGTTTGTAGGTTAATGCAACTTTAAAATTCTGTTTGCGAAAAGTTTTCACCATTTTATATCATTAACTTTACTAATCTAATTTTTTTATGAATGATTCATTGTAATATATATATATATATATATGCCATGCAATACCAAAGGTTATGCATTATCCTTGCTTTTAAATGTTCTAAATAATTTTCTAAACTATACTAGACATCCTTTTTGGATTCCCTTAATGTTACAAAAGGTAGCAATATTCATCTTATTGGATTTCTTTTTATAAAAATAAGTAACTTGGAGATTTTTACCAAAGTATAGGCAGCAGTATTCCCTTTGAAATTTATCTGAAAAGGAATATACAAATTGTTACCAGAAAAACACTTTTCTCGGATTAATTTGAAAGATATTTAAGGAACCTTATCGGAAGATGAATAGCATATATCTTGAATTTAATAAAAAAAATTACTCTGGAATTAGAATCGATAATGTTAGAAAAGACTCACTGTTGATAAAATCGCAAAGTCCAAAAAAAGTAATCCTTCTATTTGCAATATACTTTTTAAAAAAAAGATATTTTTAAGTACATTGAAAACAAATACTATGCATGTGAACTTTAAAACAGACTGATAATAACTTCAAAAATTAACAGAGGGAAATTTTTCTTTTTGTTTCCACACTTTTTATGGTTTTACTTTACAATAAAACACAGCTGCAACATTGCAGGTGAAAACAAGTTTGATAAATAAATTTTGTGTGTCTTCTTATTTTTAGGAATTGAAAGAACTTTGCTACATTTATGTTTTAAAATTTTTTTTTAAATATGAGATAAAAAATAAATACCAAAGTTAACAATCTGGATTGGTAAAATATTTTCTTCTTTTCTTTTCCAATCTTAGGTGTTGATGAATAAAAGGTAATAGCAGTTTTACAGACATTTCATGATTAATCTTGACTTTTCCTTAAAATATGTTAAACATAAGAATTAAAGTTTTCAGTAAGTGTAGTCAAGTGATGAGATTTGGATAAAATATTTTTTATTTTTTTTGTTTGTTTGTTTTTTTTTTCTCAGTTCTTGTCAGAAATATGAAGAACTATAATGCACATGAACACAATTCAATTTTTAGTCCACTAGTTTTTATTAGATATTTTTATTCTTATGCAATAGATTATTTTGAAAGTTTCAGTAATAGTTTTTTTGTTACGAACTTATAATTTCTACTAAATTTAATTCCAATATACATCCTAACAAATATCAAGTCTATTTTCAAGTTTATTTAATTTTAAGTCAGGCTACAAATTTTTTAATCCGTTATTCTTTTGATGAAATCTTACAGGTTTCCATCCTTTCATCATTAGTTTTTTTACTTATTTGGAGCCAAAAGTAACATTTCATATGTAGTTAAATGCTCATAAAGATATGCTTCTTGATAATTTTAATTTATTTTCATTCTGAATAATTCATTAAATTTCTTTAATGATTATGAAATTTTGTTATGCACTTCATTTTTGTCAATAAATGATTTCCATAACCTCAAAGGTAAATTATATCCAGGTTAAGATATTTCAGTAGGTTTTTGCATTAGAACAAAAATAATTATCTAGTCATTCAAACATGAAAGTGTTATATTCCGTGCTAAAGGAATAAATACTTAACACCAGGTGGATAATAGAAGAAAGGTTTATTGTACACAAGTACAATATGAAATACAGTACAGTTATACACACAGGTCAATCTAGTAGTGAGTGCCACTATTTGGAAGGTCGGACATGCTTGCGTCTTCTCGCTCTCACTCTTCATCCAGTCTCTTGTAGACAGTTGACTTTATAGGTACTTACTATCTATAATGTAATCATTCATGGGGGTGACTGGTTATTCCATTACATCACCTCCCGCCGAGCTGAAATTTTCCTCTGGAAAAATTTAGATTGTAATATCTTCTTTTTTTTTTGGTCCAGACTTAAACACACTGTCAGTTTTCTTTTTCTTATACTCTTTCAAGGCGAACTCGATCCTATGGGCAAAGCTGGTGTAGGAGATATGTTAGTGGGTGGTCTTACAGTATATCCATCAGAACTTCATCATCCTGTTCAATATTTCCTGTTGAAGATTTCCCAGTATCTTGGTCGTAACTGATTTATGTGCCTTTTTCATACAAATCTATTTCTTTTCACTATATAAATTACTCTTCCAATCTTGTTTGAAATAACTTCATCCTCCCAAAAACATTTTCCACCTTAGTAGTTCCTAAAGAAAACTTTGTCACCAGGTGTATACTTTTTTGTCCAGAAATTCTCTTTGCTATGTATTTTCTTTTTTGGACAAGGCGAATATAGATCTAATCTTTCTCACAAACATCAATTCAGTAGGTGACAATTTTGCAGTATTGATTGCATTCGGTGTTACCCTGTATACTGCTAAGAATTTCTGTATAGCTTTCTCCTCTGTATCTACCCCTTGATTTTTCTTTAATGTACGTCTGAATGTGTCCACAAATTTTTCCATCTGGCCATTTGTTCAATGTTCAGTGAAGCACAGAATTCTTTGAATTCTTTACTTGTAAATGCAGTTCCATTATCACTAACCAATGTCCGAGGAACTCCGAAACGGTTACAAACTTTGTCTAAGGCACTGATAGTACTTGTAGACATTGGGTGTTTGTATTTAAAAACTTCTGGCCACTTTGAGAAACTATCCACAATGATCAAGTAATAATACCCATCAAGTGGTCCTGCATAATCAATGTGTAGACATGTCCAGGGGATATCTGTTTCTGGCTATGATTGTGTTTTAACTGGCAGTGCTCTTGCAGCTAACTGATACCCTCTGCAGTTTTTCACATTTTCAACATTTGCATCCATTCATAAAAACGTAACTTCTCATAAGATATTTCATACAAGATATGCCAGGGTGACTTATATGAAATTCTTTTAAGATCTTTTTATGTAATGCCTGTGGCATCACCACCCTGTCTGTGTACATTAGCATATTTTTGCAGATCGAATAAGGAGAAATTTTTATTCCCTTTTTATTTCTTTCATTTATCCTGGCATGTTTTTCTCATAGTTTTAATAAAATCATCATTTTCTGCTGCTTTCCTTATGTCTTCCAGTGTCACCTGTCGTTCCCTAACAGTATTACACAGCAAATGCGATATTTCTTGTTTATCCTTTAAAGCCACAATTAGTTTCTTCCAAACTTTCATTATGTTTTGGAATCAACCTTGATAGTCCATCTGCATAACCCAAATTTTTAGATGAGATGTACTCCATTTTAAAATGGTAATTCAATAATGTTACACCCTACCATTGTAATCAGTTTGCAGAACGAGTTGGAATGCCCTTTTTCAATCCAAAATGGTCAGTAACAGCTTGTGGTCAGTTTGTAGTGTAAACTCTCTACCATGAAGGAAATGATGGAATATCTTAACTGCGAAAATGATTGCTAAACTTTCCTTTTTGATCTGACTGTAATTCTTTTCTGCTGGCAACAGTGTCCTTGAAGCATGTGCAATTGGTTTTGTTGAACCATCTTCATATTTATGAAGTAGCACTGCTTCATATTCACTAGCATCCGAAGCAACAATGATTTCTTTTTCTGGATCATAATGCACCAATGCTAAATCAGTCAGTAGACAATTTCTAATTTTTTAAAAAGCTTTTTCACAGTCATTTAACCCCCTTTTTCAACAATTTGTTTAATGGTGCTCTTAATTCATACATCTTTGGAATGTATATTGTGTAGTATTGCGCAAAACCTAAAAATTATTGCAACTTTGCCACGTTATCTGGGGCAAGCATATTTCTTATGGCTTCAGTTCTCCGTGGATCTGGTTTTCTGCCATCTTTATCGACAATCTGCCCGAGATACTTAATTTTTTGCATAAAAAACTCACATTTTTTGGGGTTCACTTTGAATCCGAATTCTTCTATTCTCTTGAAGATAGCCCTTATGTGTCTTTTATGCTCATCCATATTTTTACTTTTCACCAAGATGTCATCTAGATAAGCAATGGTAAATTCTAACCCTGCAAGCATTTTATCCATGATTTGTTGAAAAAGTGACGGTGCCACTTTTAAACCAAACGGAAGTCTGTTTAATTTAAATAGTTCTTTTATGTGTGTTAATTGTCAAATACTTGGAACACTCTTCGTTGACTTTGACTTGCAAGTATGCATCTGACAAATCAATTTTAGAGTATATTTTACCCCCATTTAATTTTGAGAAAATGTCCTCGGGTGAGGGAAGTGGGTAAATGTGGTCTTTTAGACAGTCATTTAGGCCTGTCAAAAAATCTGCACATACTCTAATTCTATTATTTGTCTTTTTAACATACACAGTAGGCGATGCCCAATCTGAGTGATCCACTCTTGAAATAACACCTAATTTTTCCAATCTTTCTAGTTCTTTGTTAATAGAATCTAATGAAGAAAATGGAACATTCCTTTTAGTTCTAAAAATTGGTGTAACATTTTCTTTTATCTCGAATTTTACTTTCGTTTTCAAACACATACCAAATCCTTCAGAGAAAACTCTGGGAAATTCATCTTTCAAATCATGCATGAATTTTTCTGTCTGTTTTAATTTCTTCTTTTCCCAGGTGTTCACCTGATTACAAAAAGAGTTTACAGGCAATTCCCATAAATTAAATAGTAAGATCCAATCTATGCCAAAAATGCAGTTGTTCCCTTTATGTATGTAGACTTTTGACCTGAAAGTCTTACCACAAAACAAAACCTTACACTTAAGTTCACCCTTAAATTTGAGTGTTTTGCCTGAAATACCTCAGGCAATTTTGTTTGTGTCAGTCAAGTTTGGTCGACCTATGTTTCTTCATGTCTGTTTGACAGTTATACTAATGTCAGAACCTGAATCCAAAAGAAATGTTACCATATGTCCATTTATACGTGCATCGACATACTTTTGTTTCTTGACATTCTCAAATTCCTTTCTGAGGAGAATCACATTCCCTTTTTCATTGGTCTTTTTTTTTCTTTTGTAGCATTCTTTATGTCCCTTATGGCCACATTCAAAACATACCTTGTTTTTGTACCAGCAATTATTTTTTGTGTGATTAAATCCTCCGCAACATTTACATTTCTCTTTGTTCTTCATGTTTGGGGCCTTTTTTACTTTCACTCACTGAACTTTGAAGACATTCTTTGCCTCTATACAAGTATTATCTTGTTTTACGTTAATCAAACGTTGGCACTCTTCAGTAACTTTTTGTAAAGTAATCTTATTGTCTTTTTCAATAATTGTAAAAATCTGCAACCTGATATCCTTGTCCTTGGGAGTTGTTAGTCTCTGAACAAATATTAGACATTTCAATAAGTCTTTCAAAATCTCGTCAATTTTGTTTGTGTCAGTCAAGTAATGAGTTAACCATCTTATCATACGTTAAAAAATCCTCATTTTCTGACTTCACATTATTAAGGCATTTATAACGTGTATGGAACAAGCTATCTCGTTCATCAAATATCCTTGATAATGTTTTAACTGTTTCTTCAAATGAGACTTCTTCCGGTTTCTTTGGTAATATTAGGTTAGAGTATCTTGTATTTTCATCTGTCCCCATTTTTTGTAATAAAAGGGTGACTTTTTCCTCATCTGACCAGTCTTGGCATCTACTTGTAAATATAGAGTCATATCTTCAGAAATATGCCGGGTCATAATGAAATTCCGTTAACGAATTTGCAATACCTTTGGCAGAGAAAAAACTGGTTTTTTGTTCTCCGGTTTTCGTCATTAATTTTTCACAAAGTTGAAACTGTTGCAACAGTTCTATTTGCTGTTGTTGTTGCTGAACACTAGTGCACAACAGTTTTGTAAACTCTGTTAATTGTTCCATACTGAAATTTGGCAAGTTTTTCAGAAACCGAACAACAGACAAGAAAAAACAAGCAAACAAAATACTCAAACTTCGCTTTTTTGCCTTCCAATAAACTCAAATTACTCTTGTTAAAGAATACAAAAATATTCTTACTTTAAAAAAATTTTAAGAGAGAAATCCTTTTTCAGAAAGTCTTCCTTCGAAACTCCTGTAACCCAAACATGTAGCCAACAAATATTTTTCTTTTAGTGAGTTCGTTTTGGCGTCACTGAATTTTGGTGTGAATTCATTTCAACAATCCTCATCGCCACTGTTATATTCCATGCTAAGGGAATAAATACTTAACACCAGGTGGATAATAGAAGAAAGGTTTATTGTACACAACAAGTACAATATGAAATATGGTATAGTTATACACACAGGTCACTCTAGTAGTGAGTGCCACTATTTGGAAGGTCAGATGTGCTTGTGTCTTCTCGCTCTCACTTTTCCTCCAGTCTCTCGTAGACATTTGACTTTATAGGTACTTACTACCTACAATGTAATCATTCATGGGGGTGACTGGTTATTCCATTACATCGGAAAGTTTACTTTTTAATGCAGTAAAACATTTTAATTATTATCTAAAATTAATTATTTCATATGCCATGAAGTTTTTAAATATTTTCATGAGCTGAGAATAATTTTCTTGGTTCAGTCAAAGAAAAATAGTCACAAAATGCTACACTATGTTACTGTTGATCTCAGTATGGAATTAAACTGGAGGTTGTTTTTAAAGTAATTTCATTAAATATAAAGTGTTTTTCTATTCATACAGATGTCACTGAAGTTGTCAAAATTAAAACTGGATTAGTGAGTGAGGTAGATTTCTGTTCAAATTTATCCTCACTAAAAGAAAGGAAAAGTCAATGAGAATCTTTTGATGCATTTGACATGAAATAGAAATTTGATGATATTACACAGTAATCAAACTATTTGTATTTTGTTTCCTACACTTAGCTCTATCCATATATTTACCCATGAAAAAATTAACAATATAAATAGTGGTAGATTTGTTCATGTGCTGTTGTGAGAAGTGGTTATATTATCCCTGTTTCTTTTTTAAATATATAAAAAAGCAAATTATATAATTTTACCATTATTTTAATATTTAAATGTTTTATCAGACAAAACTGTGCAATGTCTGTTTGTGACTTTTAAAA